TTCAATGAAGGCGTTGTATTTTGTGGTTTGCCCCATTGATCTCGAACTCAATAGTTACCACCATCATCCTCGTCCCCAGCCTCATCCACTGCGTCGTCTTCCTTATCATCGTCGCCACATCATCATCACAAAGACCATCATCATGAGAAATAGTAGCTGCACAAGCACCATTGTTGTCATCATCACCGTCACCGTCATCATGGCCGTCAGGACCATCATGATCATCATCGTCATCGTCACCATCAAAATCCTTACAGCTGCAACTTCGTTTTGGACAAGTCCTCCCATGCCCTAAAAACTAAGACCATGTAAACCCTCGACCCCGAACCCCGAACTTTAAACCCTCAACGACAAACCTCCCACCCACACCAAGGCTCTGCAAAAAGCTCTGATAGCACATGAAACCTACAAGTGTGGATAAGCCGTATGAACACCTTTCAATCTCACAAGCACCGTATAAAGCCCCATAAACACCGAACGAAACCCCGATAACTACACGACTCCAACCCTGTTCTTCCGAGGTAATATTACTTAGACCCCTTAAAAGGGGACCCTTCTTAACTCTACTTATGGGTCTCTCTTAGAAGGGACATTACTGAGAGGGTCTATATCCCCAAGGGTCCCTCCAATCCTAACTCCTACAGTTGGTGATATAAATCCTGCATTACCCATAATAAGGAATATACGATAATTCCCATAATTTAGGGCTCTTAAGGTACTGCAGCATTTGTATCATCAACAGTAGTTTAGAGAGGCGGCCAAGATGGAGAACCTTTGGGCTGATCGTGTCGCTCAACTTCTCGAGGACTTCAAAGGCGTTAGGATAGGCTTTAGGGTTTAGGGTTTAGGGTCTAGGGTTGTGAGTTTACGTTTAGGGTTCGAGGACCTCAAAGGCTTTGGTCGTGGTTGTTCTGCAGGGTCGCCAAGCTTCTACAGGGTCTCTATATGTTTCGTCTGTGGATTGTTGTGAGGCTGTCTAGGTTTTCGAGGAGTTTTGCTATATCTTTAAGGCAGTGTCAGAGTTTTTCAAAAGGGACTTTAATACTTAGGCCAGGGCTTGGGGTACATTACAGAAAATCTAGGGACCATAAAGGGTTTAGGGTTTAGGGTAATCTAGGGACCATGCAGGGACATTGTTTCCAATCATTCTGACCTCTATCTTAGGGCTCTACATTTAGACCCTGCCTGGGATCTATGGGAGCGTCGGGACCCTGTAGGGGTTCTTTACGGGACCTTTGAGGGTTTAGGGATTAAGGTTTGGGGTTTAGAAGGTTTAGGGCTTAGTGAGAGTTGGGGTCAACTTGGAGCATGGGATCAGTAAGTCAGGCGGCAAGTACCTTAATAGGGATGTAAGAGAGATTCGAGTTAGCCTAAGAGACCCTGGTTACCAAGCCCCACGATCCTTTAGGTAGGTTCAGAGTTTAGGATTTCCTTTTCCTGGTTTCGGGCTCAGTGTGGAGGGGTTGGGGTTTAGGATTTGTAGAGAGACTTGAACAATCAATAACTCTACTCCTCAGGGTTCTGTCTTGCGATTGCAGTATAAACTGTCCACTGAAACTCGGTTCTAATGATTTTTCGGCTGCTATATTACCTGTCCCGGTGGCATTGGGAGCATGTTGCAAGCTGAGTGTTTACGTTCGGTGCGCTAGGTGCTAAGACCCCCAAACCCTCCAACCTGTCTATTACCCTAAACCTCAACCCCGACCCAAACCCTGAACCCCCAACCCTAAACCCCAAACCCTAAACCCTAAACCCTAAACCCTAAAAACCCCAAACCCTAAACTCTCAACCCCGAAAAGCCCCTTACTAAGCCCGAAACCCTAAGAGGGCTGTCTTCGGGTTCAGCGAGAATGCTGCCGTCAAAGCATTAAGGGCGCAGACAATATAAAGGGTTTGAAAAACAATAAACCCTAAACCCTAAATCCAAAAGGGGCTACCACACCAAGCGTTCCTTTGAGGCTCGGGGCTCCAAGCCCGGAAACCCTAAACTTGTCTGTTGTGTGAGGAAAACCTGAACAAGTACCAGGGTCATGTTCAGGGCTCGAATCTCTGAAAGGTAATCAAAATAGAGAGCCCCAGGCACTTTTTGTGCCGCCTTTTGAGCGCAACGCCACTCCCGAGCCCCGCTTGGCTTCGCAAATTGAGAGCTAAACGCTCTAGAGCACGTCATCTTCTCCCGCTGGGTTTGCTTACCACAGCTCGCCTCCTTGGCAGCACACCGCGGAATGTGCCCTCGCCGAAGCCAAGTGCTTCGTTCCCAGATGGGTGGGCGAGGCAGAGGATGGGAAGGATCCCAAAAGGACAAGCAGCATTTCTTCCCGACTTACAGCCGTGTGCCCGCGAATGCTCCGGTCCCTTCCGTGACTGGTGCCATACGGCAAGTGGCCTTGCAAGACACTGGGCACTTAGCGACGGACATGCAATCTGCACTCGACCATGCCAGGAAGACAGAAGCCCGTGTACCACGACGTCATGGTGCTTATTCGACGGCCCAAGAGCAATGGGCCCTTTACGAGACCCAGGCGAAAGCCAATTTTCAGACGGAGTGGAGGCGATTCTTTGCAGATCTGGAAAGAATCGAACAGGAAGCCCTGGCTGGTCCGCAAAATCGCATTCAGGGAAGCACAGTCTTCTACCAGTGCGCCCATGACACATGCTTCCGACCCCTCCGTCAACGATCTTTTCGCTGGTTGAGGAGGATGGCAAGACTCTAGATGGAGTCCTACAGCGTTCTTTGGGTGCCTCGCTGCCGCCTGCGACACCACAACGACCTACAGCCGCCATGCCCGTGGCCCGCGCCAGGACTCACCAGCCTGCCGAGCAGGTGGTTACAGAGCCGACGGTTGTCAGCGATCCGTATCAAGTCTCAGCTCCTACACCGAATTTGTTGGCCACCCCCTTCCTGGTCTCAGTCCAGGGCAGGCCCTCAAAATGCGGGCCAACGAGACCTGGCAACATCAAAGATGCTCGTGCGGAGCCCCTGCCGAACCTGCTCGAGTGACGTTGGAGGAAAAATTGCAAGCTCGACGACAAGTGTTCTGGCCCTGAAGCCATTCGGTGGTGCTACCCGACCGCCCGTGCCCGCCGAGCCTCCGGAAACGGGCACGCCTTCTGGTTCCGGACTTGCGGGTGCCACCATTCAAGACGACGATCAGGACTTGGACGACGAGATGGATTGACAGCCTCCCTGAAAGCGCCCAGGTACTGCCAAGCTTTGGTACACACTTCGGGTTTTGCTACCTGGTGGGACCGAGCCACCGTGGACCACTTTGGTTCGTGGTCCCGTTGGCCTTGTTTCCCGTCGGGTTTTGCTCTCCCGAACGTGTGTGCATGGCAGATGCTCTGCGGGACGATCGGTTTCACGTAGGGCGCAGATTTTGCTGCACGCGAGGTCCCCGTCTGGAGTTTTGGATTGGCTCGACAGAGCGCACAACAGCTACGTCGGTTGCTGAGGGGTGCGGCCTTGTCCTGTCCTCCTAAAGTTGCTTCCTCTTGGTGTCTTCGCTTTCGCACAAGCTCCCCCACGTCGGTCCTCGATCCTTGTGGCGATTTTGCTTGTTGCGCCAAGTTTTGCAACCTTTCTTGTTGTTCCCTTTTGGGCTATTTGCAGTAGTGCCAAAGAGTCGTATCGGTGGCTCAGGGACGACGACACTGCAATTGCCTGCAGCACTTCGGAGCCATCTGTTCTTGGTTGCGGTGACCAGTGAGTCACACTTTTTCATTTGGAGGAATTGATGCGTGACTCACTTCCATTCACTGCCGATTTCAACTTGGGGAAGAAACATGCTGATCCATTGCTCAGATTGACCGAGTCGAACTTCGAAGGCATTTCATGGATCGCATTCCCGGCAGTGAAAAGGGAAGTGATGTGCGAGTGTGAGCGAGTGTATGCATCAATTGCATTTTACATTCTTATGCTTTTTATATCTTGGATTATATCAAATATAATCCATTTGTATTTATGCCAAACATGTGGCAGCTGCGAATACATAAACCG